ACCAAAGAAAAAGGTGAGTCTGACGGGCGCTGTGTATATCCAGTAGACAAGCCGGGTTTGGTTTGTTTTCCTTTCAAAGATTATTTCGTAGTATTTAAAGGGTTACAAAGGTATTGAAACTTCAAAAAAATCATTTTTTTGTTACTTTTTTTATAAAAATACAAAGCGTCAGGAATATTTTCCAAAAGTTTCAAGTCGATCGAGAAGAAACTATAAAAATTAGAGAGTTTTATAAACCGCCGTCTTTGTCATGGCTTGACCGATGATAAAAATTTAGACTTAAAACTACTTTATCGAAATCGGTAGTAAAAATTTCTCAACGACTATTGAAGCGATCGAGTTCAAATTTTCCATACTTCTTTTACAAAAAATTTAATTTTCAATTTTTCTTTGTTCAAGGACAAGGAAAAATCACCTACTTTAAGAAAAAAAATTGGATTTTTGATTTCAGATAGGAATTCAAAAAGTTATCATAATCACCGCAAAAGCACTTGCTTGTGGACGTTCTACTTCAGGACACTGCCAACGCTTTAACTTATACTATTTCGCATTCAAATTTTCATCAAATGTTGTCCACATATTGTACTTTTTATACGTAAACAAAATAAATATTTAGTATCTTTAAAAAAAAAATTAGAGAAAATAATCTTTTTTTGGCCTTCAAGCTACGCGCTTTCATTAGGAGAGTTCTAAGCAAAAGTGGTTTGTATCGACCAGTCGAAGAGTCCAATTGGATATTTTCATATTTTCGCATTTTATCAACATTTCCAAGTAAATTGGTGCCAAATCTTACAACCATTGAAAAATCTACACCAGGGCATAAAAGGGTGTGCTCTTGGGGGTTCATTTTGCTATTTTTTGAATTCATATTTAGCACATTTTTTTCATTTATTGTTTTTGTAGAGAGAAATAAAAATAAAATGCATACTTTTGGGTTTTTCTTACAGTTTTTTTTATTTATTGTGCAACTTTGTTATGAATCATTTACTTTCATTTGAATGAATTGCGAAATTAAAATATATTTAAATAAGCCTTGAACAAAATTTTCTTCCGTTAAAAAATAAAAAACAATATTTTGCGGTATTGGAATTTTTTGATATAAATTTTTTTTTAAGAAAAACTTAAATACTTGATGTTAGTAACACCGAAAATTAAACAATGCGAAAGTATTATATAACTTTGTTTTTAACACAGCGAGAATCTAAAAGGATATTAATAAAAAAAAATATGCCAGTAATTGGCAAACGACAGAAGTAATTTTTTTTTTGTAAATTAAATTTCAATTAAAAGTAATCCCTCCCTGGACTTGTTAATACTGAGATATAGTCGTATGTCATTATAAATGTATATATGTATGTATTCTGTGCACAGGGAGATTAGAAAACAGGTAATATTTTGCCAGCCAATACGACGGCAAATAGGGTGATGATGAGACAGGAAGCACAGCTAAATAACATAACAAGGGAACTAGACTTTTAAAAATACTTGCACATATTTATGTATGCATGAATGTATGTATGTATATCTGCAAGAACAGTGGCGAAGCATGCAAAACCCTAAGCCAAGACTTAACGCTATAAAAAAATCGAAGAAACAGCATTACTTATTAAACATATATATACCTATATATATACATGTGCAAATTCCATTTCTCACCTATCTATATACATATATTTAGTATACATATGTACATATTTGTTACATTTTAATGCTTTTGTTGTGGTTCTGTCATACGTGAAAAATGTTTGCTGATGAGAAACGGAAATCAAAAGTTGAAAGTAGCCAAGTGAGACTTAGCATAAAATTATGGGGCAGCTGAGGTGCCTACAAAGAAAATTAATATGCATACATATGTATGTATGTATATTTACATATAAAAAGAAGCGCAATTATGATAGACCGACTGGCAGCAACAACAGCAGCAGCTGCAATAACAAAACAACGAACTTTTAGTTCATCCAGTCGAGTTAATATTTTATTATGAAAAAAGGCGGCCTGTATGAGTAAATACACGTATATGTACAAACATATATACATTACTATAAAAATCATCTTTATAAAACAAAGATGGGTGTGGTGCGGCGGTTTTTGTATTTTATTGGCGCGTTTGCCATTTATGTAGATGAAAATGCGATTATGTTGAATATGAATGAGTTTATACGTGAGTGACAAAGAAATCACAAGCCCGACAATGCAGTTGGGGTATGGTGTGACAGCAGGCAGAACAGGCAATAAACAACAAAGAGGGGGACGTAGGTACATACACGTACATACATGATAATAACACAATACAAGTGGCACAGCTGAAAGGCAATAATTTGTGATATACATTTGTACATAGAGACATTTATATGCACAGAAGTACATACATAGTTATTTTGAAGGCAATAATTTTGCTTATTAATAAAAGAAACTGCGATAAAAATATCAATAATAAAATATATATGTAAAACAAGGCCGGTATAACAAAGGTGGCCAATAATATATGTATTTCCAATAAGGGGGCTTGTTGTGCAGTTATGCCGCTTTTGTATGATGGTATGATATACACATATATTTGTATGCCCTTCTCCAATATCAATTTTTATTTACTTTTACTTTGCACTGAATCATCTAAAAAAAACAAAACCCGCTTGGCACATATTGTCGCAAAATTTGTATTGAAATTTTAAAATTTCCCAAAATTATCGCAAGATTTTACAATATATTTTTTTCCTTTCACCAACTCTGCACATACATATGTATATATATAATATATATGTACTAACGTCTATTAGGATTATAACGTGTTCAATAACTCATATATAAAATAAATACAAGGTTTCCTTGTTCTAAGACAGTTGATCTTTGAGCTATCGTCGACCAGACAGAAAAGTGAAATATGGGCATAATGGAAGGTCGTGCGTTTTTTTACCACAAGAGCCGCGTTGCTTTGGCGGCCTTGCATAAGGTGGGATACGATATTTTGAATTACCTAACCTACGGCACAGATCTCGCCCCCGAGCAATCATAACCTGGTGCTGAAGGGTAAAAAAATTGATCACTGATGATGAAGTAAAGGAAGCATATTTTGATGATAAAAACAAAAGATTTTAAATTATTGTAAATGAAAGATCCGAGAAATTCTTATAGTTTGCTGGATATATTGAATAGGAATAAAATTTTTTCCATACATATGTATGTATGTATATAAAGTAAAGTAGTTAAGTTTTTATCTTAATGCGGTCTCTAAATTTGGAAAAACTTATGATTGATTATTCTTCGGAATTAGCTCCAAATATTTTGGGGTAGATAAAAAATATGATTAGAGTTCACACACACTAGACAAAATCGCACAGTATTCAATAAAATTAAAAAAAAATTAATAAATTTATAAGAAAAAAAAAAACATTATAAGAAAAAAAATTATAAGAAAAAAACATTTATCCATGGTTAGGCATGGCTATCGTAAGAGGCGAGTAAAATCCAATAGCACCCGCGACAGTTGGGTCTTTATACCTGAACAAATGGGATTTTTATCCGGCAAATGACGCTATGCGAGGAATATGATTACGATTACGATTACTATACAATAACAACAACAGCGATTTTATTTGCGCCTGGAATTTGTAAACAATACTTTAAAAAAAATATATATATATACTATGTATATATATTCAATACCATAATTGTCATAGGAAATAATTTTTTTTTAACACATTTTAATTGCAAGAAGAAATATGCTGACTATATCCGCGCAGTGAATGATAATAAATTATTCAATATGCAATCAGCACTTAATTTACTTGTGCATAGTTCCGTAATTTGGGGGTAAATAAAAAAAATTAAATAACTTTAAGATTTAAGTTTCTAATTATAAAAATCTGTTATATAAAATATTTTAAAAAATTTTTCGTTATCAAGTATAATAATATTTTTATCCAAATATCTAGTAAATTGGTTATTTTACGGCTCAGCTAAGCACCCACAATTATCACAACAGAGAATAAAACATGTTGAAAAAAAATCCTACACTCACTCAAACTCCTCACCCAACCGAATCAACCTACGTTCCCTACCCTATCAACTTGTTTGCCCACCAAATAGTACAGTGTGTTCGTTCGTTCGTTCGTTTACCATAATATTCCGTCCATTCATGAAACCCATATATATAATGATAACAACAAAATGCGCCACAATATACATACATACATAAATAAACAAATATACTTGAAACGAGCAGTCACCCTGCGCAATTCCATCGCATATATGGAAAATTCATTCATAAAGGGACGTAGAGGGAAATAACACAGCAACAACTATTTAAACACAGCTGGCAATAAGCAGCAGCTGCATTTCTATGGACATTCATTGTCGTTCCAATTTCAACGCGTTTTCAATCAACACCGCACAAAATATATAAAAAAAGAACACAAGGAGTGTGTGTGTGTGTGTATGTTTATAAAAGAAAGCAACAAATACCACTAGCATAAGTGTGAGAGAAATAACTATATGTTGTGCGAGCTACCGCTACTTAATATTTCTTATTCACCTACTGTTTGCTATTATTCACATCTTTATAAGCATTTTGCCAGTATTTTACATACAAAATTCACCGCCAAAATGTGGAAATACTTAACAAATGTTTGTTAGTGTATTTTCATAACATCTTGTTTTCAACTTTTTAATTAACATTTTATGACAAAATCGAATTTAAATACAGAAATTCCATCACAAAATGGTTGCGTTTCATTCCACAAAATTGGAATTGATTGAAAGCGCATTGTTTTAGTAGGCAAGAAAGTGAACGAGCAAAGCCAACACACAAGCACACACATACACGCACGCCTATACACAATTAACGCGCATCGTTCGCGACCACCAAAAACATTCCGATGCACACAAGTTTTTACCCACAAATAAACTGTGCAACAAGCACAATTTCCACAAAAATCAGAGCAAGCGAAAATGAGCCGCACTTTTGCTTATAAAATTATGATAATTTGCACTAATTTACATACCAATTTTCACTTTTAATTGCTCTTCAATTCTAACTTCGCGTGTATTATCGGCCATGTTGGATCCATAACTAATGCTTGTATGTTCCATACTGTGGTCGTCTCTTTCCTCGTATTTCTTTTTCAGTTGCATTTCGTTAGTTAGCTCTCCAGTTCAGCGTAATTCTTTGTATTCTTTACCAAACGAGGGAAATTTTTCTACACTTTAATGTTGTAGAGTTGCCGTTGCTTATATTTTAAATGCTTTGGGTGTTGCAAAATAATACAATTTGTTTTTGAAATAACGAACTTTTTTTTTATTTTAAACATTTGTCTTGGAAAAGTTATTGATGCACATAATTGGTAGACTATGAATTCATCTGAAATTTTAGTAAATACAAACAATAATTTTAATTGAACAGGAGCAACATTGATTGTGTGTGTAATGAAAAATATTTAAAATTTTAACGACGACAGCTTAAAATCATTTCCAATTATTTTCTTGTTTTATGCAGTATGGCTCGCTGCATATTTTATTTTATTGTTATATTTTGAAGATTTAAAGATATCATTAAATTATTTGTTAACACTTCTTCTTTGAAGTAAATCACTCAAGTATATGTTTTTTATTTATTTAATTTTTTTTATTAATACTTCAGTTAGTACTCTCACAAATACACTACGAACAGTTAAAAACAAGATAAAATCGTATAAAATAATCCGAAAATGGTTATGGTCTATATCGAGGTGCCATAAGTATACCCATATAAATAAGGTTAATAAGCAGCAATGCTATCGATTACTGATGCCATATCATAAGACCGTGGCTAAAACCATGTCCATACCTACCAAATACAATTTAAATTTTCCGCCTAGCACCAGAAGGCATCTGACTTCTACTTAATTGTTCCTTTGCTATTTTATTGTTTTTGTATTACTCTTGGATAACAACTTTATTGCGTTTTCAGTATTATATTCGGATAAAAACATATTTTAGTCTTTTTATTGAGTACAATTTTTTAATATAAAATAAAGTCTTGTTCTCTTTAAATTAAAATCCTTTTATTTTTAACTTTTTATGGAATAATATTGCATTTTATCCTATTTTTTATGGAATAAGATCTTTCTCTTGTTTGTAGTTAAGCTCTAAAATTCAAATCGAGAAAGCTGGAATAGAATTTTGCATATCTTGAAATCTTGTTGGCGAGTAATAATGAATCTTATAGATTCAGCAGAAAAAAAGAGTTGTTGCGAGAAAATTTTTCTGTAAAAATTACCTTGAAAAACATGCCATATAACATCCCTCACAAACAATGCCTTTTCCTTACATACTCTTTATTTTCAGTCACGCCTTTCGATGGTACCCGTATTAAAACTAATTTCCACTAATTTGATAGACAAGCGATAATCTTTAACTGTTTTCTTTTAGTATAAAATATTAAAATTCTCATAAGCAAAACATTTCCTTAATCAACAATCAGCTGTTTGTGGTTATGGTGCCAATAACAGATTACATTAAAAGCTGATTCATATAGGATATTTGTCTCTCCTTTCCTCAAAGTTGTGTTTCGACATAGATATATTTATGTTTGAAGTAGGTAGTTTATGACATTTACACTGGATAGAAGTGTGAAATTAACACGGCAATTTATTTCCTTGGTAGATTTATGTTGTTTACGTTTAATAAAAATATTAAGAATAACAAATAAAAAATAACGACCTTAAATATCTTTATGGTCACGTCTATGGCAAGAGCCAAGGTCTTATGGTATGGCATCTTTAATTTAAACTTTTAAAATTAAAATCTTGATTTTTTAAATTGCCATTGTTTCATTTTGAATAACCAAATGTTTTTCTCTTCGATCAATGGGCACACTTCACACTTCATTGGTTTGCTTACTTAAATGTTTTTTTTTTTTTTTTTTTTAATTATCAAAGTCAGCATTGAGCATGTACTTTTGTAAGGAACATCTAAATAAATGTATTGCACTTGTAAAGGAATCTACACTTGTGAAATTACTTTTAGCAATTGGGAAATTTTCCATATTCTTTTAACACAAATTTCCTCCTCATCCAAATAGCAGCAAAACGAGTTGAGAACGAAACAAATATGTTGATAAAATTCTGACAGGTGAGAAATCACCGCCATGCTGCTAAAAGCGAAACGATAAGAAATCGAAGAGGATATCCTTTTTACTGCAGGTATGCATTTCTAGAACTGCAACAACACTACAGCACAATGAATAAGAAATTTCATTAACATTTTGTGAGCAGACATTTCTCAGTGTTGCTGTACATTAACAGCATGCTTCTATATACTTATGCCCAAGCGAGTATATATTTACGTACATGTGAACTTCTTCGAAACCTGGTTGATATATTTTTTGTTGTCCAATTTTTGTGACCGCACACTTTAGGAAGAGGGAGAGACGAACAAACGAGTTTGTCTTGCTTGTTTGCATAGATACTATACAAATTAGTATGTACATATGTATGTATGTACATGATTAAGTGGGGGGCGCGTTACAGAGGAAATGGGAAATTCGAGTTCATTCATAAAAATCGGCTTTGATGTTTCGCTTGTTTTTCGGGTGATATTTCGTGTATATCTATTTATGCATATTGCGTGCGCAAGTACGTGTGAAATCCAAAATGTGTACCATCGCAAGCATATAAATTAATACATATGTAAGTGTTTTCATAAGTACATATGTATGTATATATGTATGTATGAAGGTATCTCCAAAAATATGTAGGTATTTGTTGTCTGAATTTTCGGCTTTTCGGCGCAATTGTACGCAGACGTTGCCGTTGCTGTGTCTCTAGACGTGCGATGTGACACCTATGTACATACGCATGTCGCTATGTATTCGTATATACATACCCGCACATATGTACATACATATATGTATATACATGAATACACAATCCATTCATGAAAACTGAATGAGTCGTTTTGTTAAGGGCGAACTGATTTCCTGAGTGTATGTATGCGATAGGCAAGCCCGGACGGTTTTAGTAATAAAGTATGGGGTTTTGCGATTTGGAAAAAAATTGAGAAGGTCACAAATAATTATCGGTATTAATTGATATTTGTTATCATGTAGTTATCAGTGTCGCCGACGAAACGGATATGGGATAATCAGACATAAACAAAATTTGCTATATATAAAATATCTTGTTTTTCAACACATTTTCTTTTCTTTTTTCAAGTCACGTTTAAATAATTCATGCATCACTCATTCCGTACGCACAAAAAAGTATCGAAATGCGTAAGCGTTGAGATTTTTGCACTTTCGAAGTGGTTCTTATGAGAAGCATACGCATGTATGTATGTATGTAGGTAGCACTTATTCACAATCTCATGGGCTAAAACCAAATTTTTTTTGTTAATTGCCTTTCATAAATGTTCGTATTTCATTACAAGAAATATTTTTTGTAATTACACACTCGATTCGATGGTAATTTGTCAATAAAAATCACTTCCGGTGTTTTGCACTGTGGTCTACTTTTTACATAGAACCAGTAAACACATATATACAGTATATACAAACATACACATGAAACCAAATCGACGAAATCGGAGCCGGCAGAGGACTTTGCTGACTGCTGCACAAGTTTCATTCAACCGCAAAACGTATGTATGCTGTTCATAGTGAATAAAAGAGAATATATGTAAACTTGTATGTAAATGCTAACTATGCGCAAAAGTTCCAAGCCGTCACACTACCGTAACGTACGAGCGAACGAACAACCTATACGACACACGATTTCTTTGCTACTATTTTCTTGTTGCTGCTCATTGGAAAACGAGTTGGAGCTCATTTCCGTACAATAAAAATCTGCTACTTGTTGTTGTTGGCAAGCGTAGTGTTGGCTGAGTGCGCTGAGTGCAGGGTTGTAAATAACATTCAATACGTTTATAAAGCAACCCTGTTTCACACTTACATTCTGTATACACTACGAAACAACTTTTGATGACTGAAACCCCATTGAAATTATTATCAATTTGATGTGTCGTGATGACCGCTTTACATGCCTCTGAAACGGACGCTTATAACCCATCTTTCTATCTGCTTCGATCGTCTCGAAACGTTGCGTTTCCTGTACCTCCCGTTGGACGACCTCGGTGATTAAGATTAATTAGCCTATTATTAATTAATTGGGTCAGCTAACCGCCACAACAACAACAACGAAATTGGCAGTGAAGGTCGGTTGCTTGCAAGTTCGTCCGCTACCTCCTTAGTCGGTATGTTACTGGGCCCATGCAACCGCCCTAGGTCCCATAGAGAACTGTTTAGCCGTCATGTTAAGTGGTTTGGGGCTATTCTCTACTGTTTGTTCATTATACAGGCCCTTAATCCGGCTTGGTTATCCGGAAATGCTAATTTACTATTGAGACAATTGATGGCCTCATGTTTAGTTGCTCGTTCCGGGTAAACTTTTCCTTAGGAATGATCCGGTAAATAGAAGCTAATACCAATCACCTTTGAATAGACTCCGCCATTGACTCTGTTGTCTTTTTTTGAGCCATCATATAAAATTCTATATCATTAGCTTCTATCACGGATAACTGCCTTAAAACCTGCTGTAAAATCGATGTAATCGGCTTATTTTCAATAGTTGAAGATGCCCATATTTGAATGTCGTCAGTTGTAATGATAGCTTTGTCTATATAATACATATATAGTACATATATGCAGCTCCTTCTGTGAATATTAGTGGATAACAATAAGAAGGGATTGTAGCACATTCTACAGGACTCATGTCTGCTCAAGTATGGTTCTGTTGTTTGGTGCATGTAGTTCTGAGGTGTGTCAGTATGTATTCTAGCTCTTAGACTATTTATATTTATCCAGAGTCTTTGAGCATTTTAAGGTAAAGGAATAATGGCCATTGACTATCTGCGCCCTTAATTACCGGCCGCTATTTGTGAAATCAGCTTACCTGTAAGTTTGAGCTCAGTTTCAGTCCTGAAAACACAAATGTTAAACTTTATAGATTTTTTTTTATCTTCTATTTAGGAAAGAGAACAACGGAGTTTCTTCTGCCTCAGTTAGCATCATTAGTCCAGATTTTTATAATCGCAATATCGTCCGCATACATTATGTCTATGCATCCGCACCCCTCCTCCATTTCCCTTAGGAATTGGTTTACTGCCAAGACCCACAGAAGAGGCGAAATTACTCTATGAATGTCGGTTCCTCTGCTGTCATGTCTAAGTGCATATTGTTGTTTCTGTAGTAGTTTACGGGAAATGTTGCGGAAGTGACAGTCCTTGGCTGTATAAAAATCCGGCTCGTTCTGAAATAGAAACCCGACTGTCTTTTGAATTTTAACCGCCTCTTATGACATTCATGCCATGGGTAGCCTAACTGCAATCCTTGACTTTACGACCCAGCATTCGAGCGATTGGCGTATACAAGAAATTATCCTCTGTCCAGGTTCAGGCCACTCAAGGGTTGATGTAACTGCAATATTATTGAAGATGGCCTCAGTAACCAAAAATTCTACTAAGCTGTACTCTTTAACAGAAATAGATCTATCGATTTACAATAACAAGAAGAATTTCGACCCCTCCGAGTTTATTTCTGTCATGAAAATAGCAAGTTAGGTTAGGTGACACTAGAGCTACAATCTAATTTGAGGTTAAGTAGTTATCATGTCTGAATTTGGCAATATATTATATACAAAACGAGTAAACGGCTGTGTAAACTGTGGTTAGGCAATACAAAAAGTTCCGCCAGAAGTTGTTCGATACTAAAAGACTGTCAGACAAGGTGACTTCATATCGTGTGATTTCTTTAATGGAGAAAATATTACCACCTGCAGAGCTTAATATTGAAGCGAAACGTATGGGTCTGGTAGTGAATGAGGACAAGACGAATCATCTCCTGTCATCAAACAAGCAGTCATCATTGCGATTCAGGCTCCCATGCCACTATTAACGGTCTTAACTTTGATGTTTGAAGACCTCAACTTCGTTGGAACTATCAGCTGGAAAAGTAAGAAGGAGTGTTGCAAAAACTGAGTGTGTACACTCCGTAGGGTTGACATTCACTGCTGAGAAGAGACCCTAATTTGAACAAACAAAGTTTGAACCATTAACCCTGGACATGGTAGCATGTACTGCTAATCACTCGTCTACTGTGGGCGTCTTGAAATCTGAAACGATTTAAAATAGCAAGTGGAAAAGTATCAAGAGGACCAGGAGAGCAGGAGGAGTGTATTGTACTGAATTATATGTTTGTTTTTGTTAATTTATATATACGTACATACACAAATATATTTATAGCATTTTATTTATTTCGCATACATACAAACATAGAAACGTACATCGTTTAAGTAAATGTTTATAGATCTCAATTGCTAATATTTACAAAGAAAAGCATTCAAGAACACACGCAGAGAGACACAACGGAAGATTCCTTGCTGCCTTCCGGTCAAGTGCTACCAATAATATACCGTTAGTATATAAATAAATTCCAGTACTTTGTACCCACAATAAAGTTCCTCGAGTGTCTGAGTTACGAGGTGCAAGATGCGAGGTGGGAGGTATGCAAGAGTATCTCAAGAGTGTATGTACATATGTATATACATACTGTCTGTTCGTATCAAAGTAAGTAGCGCCACCGTCAATCAATCGAATGCCACAAAAGCATGGATCATTGGCGACGATGGCACGCCACTGCTACCAGTACAACAACACCTACGCAATCACATAGGCGCACACATGCCCATACATATATACATACATATGGAGCACACCAGCAACTCGCCAATTGGCAGCAACTAATAACGATAGCACCGATATCACGCGTCGCATCAATGGACATTTGTGTAGTAATGAGTAAAACTGGCGCACTAAATTGTATTGATGCTGATTGACAAACGATGAGACGCATAATGCTGGTGTGGCAACTTGTTAATGATGCCTTTTTCTCTCTCTCAACAATTTCCATATTCTTCTTCTTCTCCTTGTTTCCTTTATTCGCGTGTTTTTGTATATATGGATGCTATGGTGTTGAGTTTTATTAAATCCGAATATGAATCGCAGATTTTCAGTATATATTCACTAGCGGAGGCGGCGTAAGCTGTGGAGGTTGGATCTTCCCGAATGAAAGGCATATAAGGATTGTTATAGGAAATGGGTGGAAATGCCTCAACATTCCGGTTTATGATGGAACTCCATTTCTCCATTAATGCTGCCGTAGCTGTTCTTGAGTAGTCCATTCAGTTCGACTGTGGGGCTCTCTATGCTTGCAATATCGACTTCTTTTTCGTGTTTCATATCATGAATCGTCTCTGGGTTCCACGTAGCGTATCAAACCCCATATCGTTCATCCAAATCTTTTCAACATTTTGAACAATCGGCGTTGACGGTAATGACAGCTCCTTCTAGCATCTAAGCGATCTTTAGCCCATTGAGCTCATGAGCCTTCAGTTCTTGGCCCAAATGAACTTTATAAACCTTCTTACCGAGGGATGTTTTACTCCTGCGAACGGTGTCAAGTTGAGTACAGCAGCAATATTTATTTTCTGAACGCAAGTAATTTTTTTCCGAAAATTAGCCGATTTAACTGCACTCTAGTTATTTCGTTCGATTTTCGGGCGCAATTCTCATCCAGCTGCGGTTGAAGACCCACCATTTTGGAAGAAAGTTTTCCACATTTTTTCTCCAATTTCCTTCAAGTGTAATCTTTACTTAAGTAAACGGAAGAAGTCTGCCCGACGATTAAAACATAAACAAAAGGATGGCCTAGTCTCCTAGGGATGGTATTAGTCTCCTATATATCGCGTATATAAGGCGTATTGTGTGAAGTACTAGAGCAAACTCTGAACAAAGTGATGGAACCTCATCCTGGAAACTGGAACATCTACAATTGACCAGATATTCATCATTTTCCAAATTTGGAAAAGACTAGTGAAAAAGTGGATCGAGAAACCTCTCGAAAAAGAGCTGCCTCTACCCCGCTATGTCTGAATTCGGTACCCTAGCAAAACTTATGCGGCCAGGCAAACGACGATAGACAACACCAGAAGTGTAGTTAAAATTAGGAAGGACCTCTCCGAGCCGTTCAATTGTCTATAAGATTGTAGAGCTGTTAGCATACGACGAGGATATTGATATTATTGAACTCAATAGTAGCATCGTGAGTTCTGCTCTCTCCAGACTAGGTAAGGAACCAAAGCATGTAGGTCTGATAGTGAGCGACGGCATGACGAAATATCTTCTGCCATCAAGCAAACAGCCATCGTAATTGCGAATCGATTTCCACGTCACTTTTGACAGTCTTAACTTTGAAGTCTGGAAATCCAACGAAGAATCACTCTTTTCAACTGGTGCTACTTCGGAATGAGTAGGCAATTGAAAAGTATAGCCTTTTCACGACGAATATCTACCAAATTCTACGAGTCGTTCATCCAATCCGTCCTTTCATATGGTGCGATGGCTTTATTGTCCTCTGCGCGTTGGTACTACCAAATTCCGCAGACGGATCGATAAGAATACTTGCAGTATCCGTCGGCAGAAGCAGAGGAATAGGAAGGCCTCCAGTCCGTTGAAAAGATCAAGTGGAAAAGAGCTTGGCTGAACTTGGTATTTCCAATTAGTGTCAAATTGCGAAAAGAAGAAAGGAAACACGCATGTTAACTTAAACGGTGCCAACGATAGTAAAGAAAAATCTGCCTTAGGGTTAGAGGCTGAAAATTTACGCATGGTAAGGCTTGTCCGTCGTAAGAGGCGAGTAAAATCCAACAACTCCTGCGACAGTCGGCCATGAGCT